GGAACTACAGCACAGTCACTTGACTTCACGTCACCACCGCTAAGCTAAAGGTGGCTAATGTTGGGCTCGTAAAGGAACTACAGCACGGTCACTTGACTTCACGTCACCACCGCTAAGCTAAAGGTGGCTAACGTTGGGCTCGTAAAGGAACTAGAGCACGGTCACTTGACTTCACGTCACCACCGCTAAGCTAAAGGAGGCTAATCTTGGGCTATAAAGGAACTACAGCACGGTCACATGACTTCACGTCACCACCGCTAAGCTAAAGGTGGCTAACGTTGGGCGTGATGGCGTTTAGTCATCTCATTTAGACACTTGTTAGCAACCTCTGTTTTTAAATCCACCAGTGGGGTATTTACTGACGTATTTTATGTCGTAGAACAAAACGTTGACATCTCTTCAGCTTGTGTAAACCACAGACCTTATTTCTGACCAAAAACACATTCAGAAACCCATCAACCTCCAGACCAGGGGACAGGAAGTGAGTTTTTGGGACTCATCCCTGCAGCTCTGATAGCATAGAGCTTCCAACATGGAGCCCTCTGCTGGCTGACAGTGGTTCTTTGTGTAGATATGCTGCAGCTTCTCAGGGAAACTCTAAATGAGGCAGATTGAGATGCAGCTCGGAGCGGCTCGTCTTTGAAACGCTGCATTTTTCCTTCTCTCATCTGGCTGGAGGCTGCAGAACCAAACACATCATCCGTATCTGGATCTTAAGTAAGAGTTGAGCTGCTGCAGGTGAAAGAGGGAGCTGCTTTAAGATGAAACATCTTCTGTTGGACCAAAGTGACACCGACTGCACTCAGAAAACTAAATATATATCTAAACATCTGCTGATTACTACTTTTTAAGTTGTGAGATCAATAAAGTACATTCATTATAATCTAAATAAATCAAATCTCCAGCTGTATTTAGAAACAATACAGCGAACTTCTGTCAACAGAGAATCAATGAAATATCAATTAATTTACATTAATATGCAATAAAACCAACAAAATAACTGCCCACAGTTCCTCAAACGTGAGTATTTACGTTTCTTGTGAAGTAAACTAAATACATTTGGGTTTGGGAATGTGATTTTCCCCACGTTATACACCCAACAACTAGCTGATTAATCAATAAACTAATCAGCCGGGTTATTGATGACGCCAACAACCGTCAGTTTCAGACCTAATTACGGACATCACTGTGTGGTAAAGACAAACACATTGGGGGGAGGGGGAACAAAGCAATTACTGCGTCTGATTTTAAAAAGCCACCTGAGAGAAAAGAAAGCAAAGTAAAAAACAAGTGTGTTTTATATTTTTGTTCCGTTTGATTTCCATGCTGGAGAAATTACAAAAATGTCTCAAACTGGGATCAATAAAGTTCTATCTACCTTATCTTAAAGGGGACCTATCATGCAAAATGCACTTTTGTACGTCTTTTCTACATGAATATGTGTCCCCGGTGTTCCAGGGAACTCACCAAGTGTCAGAAAACACAACCCTCTCTATTTTCCTCCATACCCAAATCTCTAAAAAAGGGGCTGCAACGGATCTGATAAAAACTGATCCAGATTTGAACACTGTCCTGACGTCAGGACGGTGGCGCTACGGCTATTGGGCCAACTCCACCAATCAGGAGGAGACAGCCACGGCCATTGCCGTTCGAAAGCGCTGGAGACGCTGTAGTACATATGCCAGGCCTCTAGATGGTGCTGTGCTCACTGAATCAGCCTTTGCAAAAACAGAGCTAACATTTTTCAAATTGACCGAAATGAGGCATGGCTAAAACGCATGATCTGTTTGGTATTTTGAAAAAAAAAAAAGTATAAATATTAGGGCTGTCAAGTTAACGCGTTAATAACGCGTTAACGCAAAAAAAAAATAATGCCACTAATTATTTTAACGCGATTAACGCATGTGTATTTTTTGTCCTCGGCCGCCCCGTAGTTTCAGAGCGCATCGAGTTTAAAATACCATCTACAAGCTGATGCTGACAGCCCCGCTCCTGCCGCCCGCTTGTGGCAGACCACACTTCCACGCTCACCGGCAGGCCAGGACTGACCATCGGGAGGACCGGGAGGGTGTGTGTATGTGTATGTGTGGGGCGACTCGCGCGAGCGAGGCACACCTTACGTGTTGTTGTTAGCATCTGGTGCTAGCTAGCTGCGCTAACGGATATAAGGAGCTGTTTCAATGACATTTCGCCGACAACTGCGCCGAGCACTTGACTTTATGCAGTCTGCAGCCAGACAGTGGGACATTGTACGAAAAGTCCTAGGTATGGTCCTACACTATATTATTATAATATAGCATGATAGGTCCACTTTAAGTGAGTCCTGCCTGGCAACTACAGGATGGAATAAACTGATTTTTAAGGGCTTTAAACGATTAGCTGAATAATTATTGTTGACAGTCAACAAATAATTAACAGCAACTTGTTTGATAATCAAATAATTAATTCAGTTCGTTTTTTGGGGACAGAAAAAGGAAAGCGTATTATGGTTGCAGAAGAGGATTAGAAACAAATCTTGACATTACTTTTGATCCGATTTCGAACAGAATGTGATTGTCAGGAGCAGGAGGTGATCAGGACCCAAATGCTGAATAAAGAGGTTGGTGTATAAAAGAAAGCTGTTCCAAACAAACACTAGAAAAATGCACAAATAGGCAAGATCAACAAAAGGAAAAGGAGCAAACAAAAACAAAATAACTAAACCAGGAAGACTTGGAGGACACGGGAGGAAAAGCCAGAATACAGACAAAGATCCAGGAGCCAAAACCAGAGAAACAACGACGACGAAATGACCGAGAGCACAAGGGAAGACGAGACTAAATCCACACGGGGGTAATCACAAGACAAGACACAGCTGGGGAGGTGAGACACGGGGCAGCAGGTGAACACAATCAGGGAAGAGGCAGAACAAAATAAATGTCAAAATAAAACAGGAAACTAAGATCATGAAGGTTAGGTGTTGCCTTAATCCTCTCCCACAGCTTCTCAAGTAAAAGCTTTGTTATCGTTTCTCCAGACACGACTCAACGCTGAATATCACTGGTTATCAGTCGATCTTGTTCAGAGATGATACACGACGTGTTTGAATATTATTTAAACTTTTATGGACAAATGTTTTCCAGAGTTAAGAAGCCTTTTCTTAAACACGAGCTGTGGCAATGGCAGTCATCTCATGCTTCAATCGTGCCCTAACATGTGATCTTTTCGGGCGTCAATGCTAAGTGTTTGCCTTTGAATCCATATAACTTTGCTCTTAGTTTAGATTCCAATGACGAACATAGACATGGACACAACATGAGAGTTGCTTTGAATGCTGCACGCGTCACAATACTGCAGAAATGGTCAGATGAAAAACCGCCTGATATTTGTAATGCTTGAAAAACTGATGTCCATTCTGCCATTGGAACAGTCCCCAATATCATCTTACACTCAAGAGGAAGGGTCCGGTGTTATTACTGTGGGGGTAAATACTCACACATGAGTACTGCACTGTTTGTTTTTGTCTGTCCCTAGTCTTTCTTTGTTTTGTGGGTTTTATAGTTTTGTTGGTGTTGTGTCACCTTGTAACTTCTGCGACAGATAAACCGAGGTGATTATGATTCATAAGGAAGACAGAAAACTGGGACCTCATGATAAAGGGAACAAATCACTATTTTTTTGATCATCAAATATGTTTTTTAGGAGAAAGATACAACACTGCTTTAGTTCCAGCGTCTCAAAGAACAAGCTTTCATTATTTTATCTCCACACATGATGTGTGTGTGTGTTTTTATCTGCTATACTTTAACATGTTATAGACAGATTATTTCTACAGGCGGTCTTGTTTCTTCCGCTGTTATGCAGATAAACCAACAATCCCACACATGAAATAATGACTCGTAGAAACGATAGGAACCTTTGACCTGCAATCGACTACAGAAACCATAAGGGACAAATCAATGGATGAAAGTAATTATATCCCACATCATAGACACACACACACACACACACACACACACACACACACACACACACACACACACACACACACACACACACACACACACACACACACACACACACACACACACACACACACACACACACACACACACACACACACACACACACACACACACACACACACACACACACACACACACACACACACACACACACACACACACACACACACACCTTTAGATGTCACCTTGAGAGAATCGACACCCTGCACGCAGAGCGGAGATGCTGACAGAGCTTCACATTCCTACAAATAAAACTAAAAGCTGACCTGATTTTGAAACTTGTACTACTGTAAAAGTGAAAGTACTCACAGTAGAAGTACCAGAGTGTAGGAATACTCTGTTTCAGTAAAAGTCCTGCATTCAAAATGTTCCTCAAGTGAAAGTAGAAAAGTATTCTCATCAAAATATAGTGAAAGTAGCGACAGTAAAAGTAGTCATTGTGCAGATTGGTCCATTTCAGAATAATATATATGATATGTTTTATAATGATTGATCATGAAAGTGTTCTCAAAGCTGGTAAAGGTGCAGCTAGTTTGAATGACTTTGTATACTGCAGGGTAGCTTGTGGATTTACTCCAGGTGGAACTAAAGTCTGATTTAACACTTGGTTATATTTCACATCATTCATCCACATCTGTAAAGTAACTAAAGGTATTAAATACATGTAGTGGAGGAAAAGTACACCATTTACCTCTGAACTGTAGTGGAGTAGAAGTACACAGTAGCAGAAAATGGAAATACTCAAGTAAAGTACAAGTACCTCAGAATTGTATTTAAGTACAGTAATTGAGTAAATCCACTTAGTTACTTTACACCACACACACCTGCATGCACGAGCTGTTTATGAGGTCCAGCTGCACACCAGCAACAAGAGTCTGAGAGAAATCAGCATGCAGCGCGAGCAGCTGCAGAAACGCATCTCCATAAAGTCCTGCTGTGAGGAAGAGGAAGAGGAGAGGAAGATGAGAGGAAGATGAGAGGAAGAGGAGCACGCACCTGAACCTCCACGCTGTATTCCTGGTAGAGGTGCGTGGGAAACACCGCCAGCTGATGTTCCACTTGGAGGGAAACTGTGTAATCCATGGACTGGAGGATGTGGAGACTCAGAGAGCGCGAGGAGCGTCTGCTGCTTGCGCGAGGACTCCGCGCGAGCCAGTGTGCAGCCGAGCCCTGCCCACTGAGCTCCCATTGGCTGAGGCGGTTCAGGAGGCGGGGCCGAAAGTGGAGCATCAGATACAATCATCTGCACCTGACAGCATGTAAACATAGTGTACTACGTATAGTATGAGTTTGCATAGTCATAACAGCTTTTAAATTACATCTGCATTAACAGTTGATTTTGTCTGCTGCTGTGAGAAAAAAAATCCCAAATTGGGATCAATAAACTATATCTAATCTAATCTAATAAACCTGTTTCGACAATCTATAGTCTGCACCAGTCTATTTATAGTAAAGATAGACTGGGGCAGACTAAATATAGTTTTGTCTCAACCAGTATATAGTCTGAAATTCAGACTATAGACTGGTGCAGGCTATATTCTGGTTCAGACTCTGAACCAGTATATACTGTAGTCTGCACCTGTCTATAGCCTGCACCAGTATATAGTCTTCACCAGTATATAGCCTGCACCTGTCTATAGCCTGCACCAGTCTATAGTCTTCACCAGTATATAATATTCACCAGTATATAATCTGCACCAATTTATAGTCTGCACCAGTATATAATCTTCACCAGTATATAGTCTGCACCAGTATAATATTCACCAGTATATAGTCTGCACCAGTATATAATCTTCACCAGTATATAGTCTGCACCAGTATATAGTCTGCACCAGTATATAATCTTCACCAGTATATAGTCTGCACCAGTATATAATCTTCACCAGTAGCTATATAATCTTCACCAGTATATAGTCTGCACCAGTACAGTATATAGTCTGCACCAGTAATCTTCACCAGTATATAGTCTGTACCAGTATATAGTCTGCACCAGTATATAGTCTGCACCAGTCTTAAATCAGCACCTGTCTATATTGTATACAGTCTTTAGTCTGCACCTATTTCAGACAGTGTTTAGCCTGTACCAGTCTATAGTCAGCACCCATTTTATTCAGTCTGTAGTCTGCACCAGTCAATAGCCTTCCCCTTTTTATACTGTCTATTGGTTTTAGTTTGAATCTATACGCCGACTGCATCTTATTATTTTGTATTCAGCAGGTGCTCCTATATGTTCATAAAATACTGTGTGAGAGCTTAACACTTTCTGTCAGCTCAGATGTCATTTCTGCTTTTATAAACTGTAGTATGTGCTCATGTGTTTCAGCGTTCTGCCTGAGTTTGCTTCATGAAAGGCAGGTTTTCCTACAAATAAAATCATTTCTGTTCCTAAATATCTCTCTTTTCTAAGGTCACATTGTTCTGTTGTCTTACAGAATACACTTCAGCAAAAAACATCCTTTTGATATGTATTTTCTCGTCTTGTTTGCATAAAGCTTTTACAGGTGATTGTAACAGAATACATTTTAAAGTAAGCCTCCCCTCCCTGAGTCAAAGCGCTCTCTGATCACAGCCGCATGCAAACGGATCTGCGAGCAGAGAAAATGTGTCGAGGCCGGAGGATCTATTTTTATTCATTTGTAGATTTCTCTGCATCTCATTACTCAGCAGAGGAATATATTCATGACATGCATTATGGAGGAGTGGTTGTCGACTATTAATTCTTCCCTCTTTTACATAGTTTCCCTAAATCGGATGCCCTCCCCCTCCGCTGCATGTATGCATCACGTTGAATGTATTTACACGTTTAATAAGGCTGGTCACAAACTGCTTAGCAACAATTTAACAGCAGATAGATGCAAAGAGTCTGGAATGAGATTAGAGTGAAACAACTCTCAGATATGTTATGAAGCATGAGCAGCAGAATGTAGGCCATCATAAAGGTTGAGGATTTACGGGTGGAATCTTCCCCTCTGGTGATTCAGCTTCTGCAGAAACCCTGAGGGAACAGAGGGGGGAAGAAACTGAGTACATTTACTCAAGTATTATATTTAAAGAGTCCTCTCCTGCTGATGTTCAGGTGTATATCAGTATGTAGTGTCTCTACTTTAAAGAGTCCTCTCCTGCTGATGTTCAGGTGTATATCAGTATGTAGTGTCTCTACTTTAAAGAGTCCTCTCCTGCTGATGTTCAGGTGTATATCAGTATGTAGTGTCTCTACTTTAAAGAGTCCTCTCCTGCTGATGTTCAGGTGTATATCAGTATGTAGTGTCTCTACTTTAAAGAGTCCTCTCCTGCTGATGTTCAGGTGTATATCAGTATGTAGTGTCTCTACTTTAAAGAGTCCTCTCTTGCTGATGTTCAGGTGCATATCAGTATGTAGTGTCTCTACTTTAAAGAGTCCTCTCCTGCTGATGTTCAGGTGTATATCAGTGTGTAGTGTCTCTACTTTAAAGAGTCCTCTCCTGCTGATGTTCAGGTGTATATCAGTATGTAGTGTCTCTACTTTAAAGAGTCCTCTCCTGCTGATGTTCAGGTGTATATCAGTATGTAGTGTCTCTACTTTAAAGAGTCCTCTCCTGCTGATGTTCAGGTGTATATCAGTATGTAGTGTCTCTACTTTAAAGAGTCCTCTCCTGCTGATGTTCAGGTGTATATCAGTATATAGTGTCTCTACTTTAAAGAGTCCTCTCCTGTTGATGTTCAGGTGTATATCAGTATGTAGTGTCTCTACTTTAAAGAGTCCTCTCCTGTTGATGTGCAGGTGTATATCAGTATGTGGTGTCTCTACTTTAAAGAGTCCTCTCCTGCTGATGTTCAGGTGTATATGTAGTGTCTCTACTTTAAAGAGTTCTCTCCTGCTGATGTTCAGGTGTATATCAGTATGTAGTGTCTCTACTTTAAAGAGTTCTCTCCTGCTGATGTTCAGGTGTATATCAGTATGTAGTGTCTCTACTTTAAAGAGTTCTCTCCTGCTGATGTTCAGGTGTATATCAGTATGTAGTGTCTCTACTTTAAAGAGTCCTCTCCTGCTGATGTTCAGGTGTATATCAGTATGTAGTGTCTCTACTTTAAAGAGTCCTCTCCTGCTGATGTTCAGGTGTATATCAGTATGTAGTGTCTCTACTTTAAAGAGTCCTCTCCTGCTGATGTTCAGGTGTATATCAGTATGTAGTGTCTCTACTTTAAAGAGTCCTCTCCTGCTGATGTTCAGGTGTATATCAGTACGTAGTGTCTCTACTTTAAAGAGTCCTCTCCTGCTGATGTTCAGGTGTATATCAGTATGTAGTGTCTCTACTTTAAAGAGTCCTCTCCTGCTGATGTTCAGGTGTATATCAGTATGTAGTGTCTCTACTTTAAAGAGTCCTCTCCTGTTGATGTTCAGGTGTATATCAGTATGTGGTGTCTCTACTTTAAAGAGTCCTCTCCTGCTGATGTTCAGGTGTATATGTAGTGTCTCTACTTTAAAGAGTCCTCTCCTGCTGATGTTCAGGTGTATATGTAGTGTCTCTACTTTAAAGAGTTCTCTCCTGCTGATGTTCAGGTGTATATCAGTATGTAGTGTCTCTACTTTAAAGAGTCCTCTCCTGCTGATGTTCAGGTGGATATCAGTATGTAGTGTCTCTACTTTAAAGAGTCCTCTCCTGCTGATGTTCAGGTGTATATCAGTATTTAGTGTCTCTACTTTAAAGAGTCCTCTCCTGCTGATGTTCAGGTGTATATCAGTATGTAGTGTCTCTACTTTAAAGAGTCCTCTCCTGCTGATGTTCAGGTGTATATCAGTACGTAGTGTCTCTACTTTAAAGAGTCCTCTCCTGCTGATGTTCAGGTGTATATCAGTATGTAGTGTCTCTACTTTAAAGAGTCCTCTCCTGCTGATGTTCAGGTGTATATCAGTATGTAGTGTCTCTACTTTAAAGAGTCCTTTCCTGTTGATGTTCAGGTGTATATCAGTATGTGGTGTCTCTACTTTAAAGAGTCCTCTCCTGCTGATGTTCAGGTGTATATGTAGTGTCTCTACTTTAAAGAGTCCTCTCCTGCTGATGTTCAGGTGTATATGTAGTGTCTCTACTTTAAAGAGTTCTCTCCTGCTGATGTTCAGGTGTATATCAGTATGTAGTGTCTCTACTTTAAAGAGTCCTCTCCTGCTGATGTTCAGGTGGATATCAGTATGTAGTGTCTCTACTTTAAAGAGTCCTCTCCTGCTGATGTTCAGGTGTATATCAGTATTTAGTGTCTCTACTTTAAAGAGTCCTCTCCTGCTGATGTTCAGGTGTATATCAGTATGTAGTGTCTCTAATTTAAAGAGTCCTCTCCTGCTGATGTTCAGGTGTATATCAGTATGTAGTGTCTCTACTTTAAAGAGTCCTCTCCTGCTGATGTTCAGGTGTATATCAGTATGTAGTGTCTCTACTTTAAAGAGTCCTCTCCTGCTGATGTTCAGGTGTATATCAGTATGTAGTGTCTCTACTTTAAAGAGTCCTCTCCTGCTGATGTTCAGGTGTATATCAGTACGTAGTGTCTCTACTTTAAAGAGTCCTCTCCTGCTGATGTTCAGGTGTATATCAGTACGTAGTGTCTCTACTTTAAAGAGTCCTCTCCTGCTGATGTTCAGGTGGATATCAGTATGTAGTGTCTCTACTTTAAAGAGTTCTCTCCTGCTGATGTTCAGGTGTATATCAGTATGTAGTGTCTCTACTTTAAAGAGTCCTCTCCTGCTGATGTTCAGGTGTATATCAGTATGTAGTGTCTCTACTTTAAAGAGTCCTCTCCTGCTGATGTTCAGGTGGATATCAGTATGTAGTGTCTCTACTTTAAAGAGTCCTCTCCTGCTGATGTTCAGGTGTATATCAGTATTTAGTGTCTCTACTTTAAAGAGTCCTCTCCTGCTGATGTTCAGGTGTATATCAGTATGTAGTGTCTCTAATTTAAAGAGTCCTCTCCTGCTGATGTTCAGGTGTATATCAGTATGTAGTGTCTCTACTTTAAAGAGTCCTCTCCTGCTGATGTTCAGGTGTATATCAGTATGTAGTGTCTCTACTTTAAAGAGTCCTCTCCTGCTGATGTTCAGGTGTATATCAGTATGTAGTGTCTCTACTTTAAAGAGTCCTCTCCTGCTGATGTTCAGGTGTATATCAGTACGTAGTGTCT